GTTGATTTACGATGGCCTCTGTGCAATCAAACCTCACTGCTCATGTGTATCTGTATTTGCAGCCGCTCCCCAGTGCTGGCATCTCCGCCTCAGCTTCACCTCAGATCATCAGGCGTTTGATTCTCATAAGGAGCACACAAGCTAGATCCCTCACCTGAACCGTTCACAAGAGGTTCATGCTCCTGTGAGAGTCTAATGCCACAGCTGATCTGACAAAAAGCGGAGGTCAGGCAGTAACCCAAGCCATGGGGAGTGACTGAAAACACAAGTGAAGTACTTGGTTTGTGGCCCCAGGGTTGAGGACCCCTGCTCTGTCTAAACTGTTTGAAGGAGATCTGTCTGGGAAATGAGTTCAAGCAAAATGGGCTGCTAGCTGAGGGCTTTTGCTTTCACTTCCTCATAGACTATACTATTATTTCCTTTAAAAAATAACGAACATGTGTTACTTTTTTATTTTTAAAACAATGATCATTAGTTCAGAGATGCTCTAGTGGGTTGTGAGTTAAAATAGCTTTTTTCCCCAAACCTACTGTTTCTGTTCTCTCCAATGCTCAAAAACTAGAGGCTGGTCATTGATAGTGACTGTTCATTAAAAATGTTTTTCTCTTTAGAAAAATGTAAGTCCCATCTTTTATAAAGCCTATGTTTTCTTTAACAAAGAAGATACACAGCTGCCTGGTCGTTATTAATACTGTTTTGTCAATATTTTCCTCTCATGTTCATTTACGCTTCTTGTAACTCTCAAAAATGAATTCTGAAATTTAGACTTTGCCCCCAAAAGGGACATAAGAATTTTAAGATCAGCTGGGCTCGGTGGCTCAGCCTATAATCCCGTGCCTTTGGGAGGCTGAGGTGAGCAGATTGCCTGAGCCCGCGGGTTCGAGACCCGCCTGGGCAGTGAGACCTCATCTCTACAATAAATCAAAACATCAGCCGGGCGTGGTAGCGCATGCCTGTAATTCCGGCTACTCGGAAGGCTGATGCGGAGAGATCGCCGGAGCCCAGCAGGTCGAGGCTGCGGTGGCCGGGAGCGGCCACTGCACTCCAGTCTGGGCGACAGAGTGAGACTCCGACTCAAAAAAAAAAAAAAAAAAAAAAAAAATTTTAAGATTAATAAATCTCCTTAGTTTCTGCTTTTAGCTCCAGTATACTGAATTTTACCTTATATCCAGCCTAAGTCTTATCAATGTTCCTTACCAAATGCATAAAAGAAGGTATTTTGGGATACAAATTTATTTTGCAGGTGATGAGTGTACTCCTAACAGTAAAGGTCATGGTTAGATAAATGTCACAGAAAGCTTACACTACTGAGCTCAAACATTCATAAGTGAATTTTATCAAAATTCCATTAAAAGTCATCAGATCCCGGCTTACCTCTTGTTGCCAAAGGTTAACTTACACTTCCAACCAAAGCCTCTGAGTTTCTGCCTGATTTACCTAATGTCTCTAACAAATAGTCTTAACTTTATAATTTTCTCTGGAAAGTATAAAGGAGGCAAGGAACAGTGTTATTAATACTAACCTATGCTGCTTTAGAAGAAATCTGAAGTAATTAAAATTTTTTTTTAATTTTAAAGAAGTGGGGTACAGTGCAGAGTTAGGTATACAAATGTTCATTATGCAGGTTCCCTTGTTGATGAGGTGTGCCCCCGTCCCCTCCCCTGGCCGTTTCCTACTACTGCCAATCCCTTTCTTACAGTATTATTATAATTGTTCAAGGTCCACTTACTATTTTTTTTTTTTTTTTTG